CCCCAAAACCCCAAAACCCCAAAACCCCGTTCTGTGCTAATATCTTGAATTTAAGAGAAATGATTAAGAAATATTTTCGATAAATTAACTATTGATTTGGGAGTGTTCTTTTATATTACGTAGGCATTATCGATAAAATCTTAATTAGCTCAAGTTAAATAAATATTTAAGAAATAACAAACCTATTGGAACTGCTTAAAGATTTATGAGTTCGAACACAAATCAATTTAAAGAGGAATTTAAGTTCAAGAGATTTTTTTAGCATCTAAGTAGATCTGATAAGATACTTATATCAATTGGAAGTGTTGCTGCCTTGGTAACAGGAGCGTTAGTTCCAATAATTTCAATTTTAATGGGTGAGTTGGCTGATGTTTTTGACCCTTTTAAGAGCGTCTAAGACAAAAAGAGACTTGTCAAGGAAATATCTGGTTACATTGCTTTAATAGCATTCGTGATATGGCTCACAGGATATATCTACTATTCATTTTGGTAGCATATTGGTGAAAACATTGCTTTCGACCTAAGAGTGAGATATCTTAATTAAATTCTAAAGTAGGAAGTTGACTATTTTGAAAAATTAGATATTGAACAGCTTCCTTCTTAGATTGGTGAAAATTTCTTGGTAGTCTAATAATCGATCGGCCAAAAGTTCGCTTCTATACTGTTCGCCATTTCAAACTTGCTTTCTGCTATTGGTGTAGCATTTTATAGGGGTCCAGATCTAGCAGCTATCTATTTTTCAATGTTTCCCTTGGTGTTTCTACTTGTAAAAGTGTTGGGCTCTCAAGTAAAGAAAGTGACATTGTAAAAAACTGAAATTTCTAAGAAATTAAGAGGTAAAATTGAGGAGAGCCTCATAGGAATAAAAGTCATCTCTACTTTCGCTTAAGAAGATAGAGAGATAATGGAATTTGAAGAATTGGCTGAGGAGAATCGAAAGTTATGCGTTAAATCTGAATATTGGACTGCTAGTTTCGTTGCAGCTCTGAAATTCGCCATATTTGCACTCTACGCTTTTAATTATTGGATTGCTTTTGTATTTATTGAAAATAAAAGGAAAAACCCTAAAACTGGAAAATTATTTACTGCTGGTGAGATGATTTCTATTATGCTTGCCATCTTGAATTGTACAGCTATAACCTTTCAGCTCATTCCTAATTTTCAGGCTCTTGTCAAAGCTAAATTAGTAGGGAAAGAAATTTTTGATGTCATTGATAGAGTGTCGGCAATTGTAGATCATGATTAAAGCTTAAGTGATTTTAATCTTAAATCCGCTATAAAATTCTAAAATATTACCTTCAAATACCATAAGGCTTAATAGGAGACCTTTAAAAATACAAGCTTTTAAATTAAAGCTGAGACCTCTACTGCTATTGTTGGAGAATCAGGATCAGGGAAATCCACCATTATTTAATTAATTGAGAGATTTTATGACCCCCTTGCTGGTGATATATATTTTGATGAAACCAATTTAAAGAATATTTCTTTAAAGGCCTTAAGGGAATCTATTGGATATGTTCAATAGGAACCAGTTTTGATTATTGGAAGTATTCGTGACAACATCTTGCTTGGAAATAAAGATGCAAGTGATGATGAAATAGATAGGGTGATAAAAATGGCCAATGCTAGTTTTATTTACAACTTGGAGAATTAGCTTGACACTCATATTGGCTCATCTACTCTACTCAATCTCTCTGGAGGATAGAAGCAAAGAATCGCCATCGCTAGAGCTCTGATTAAAAATCCTAAGATTCTCATTTTAGATGAAGCAACTAGTGCCTTGGACTCTAAAAGTGAAAGAGAGGTCTAAGAGGCTTTAAATAATATTCAAAACTCAGAGAAAAAACTGACAACTATAATGATAGCTCATAGATTATAAACAATTTAAACTGCAGAAAATTTAATCTATTTCAACAAAAACAAGAGCAATATTCTTACTGGATCAATAGGCACAAAAGACTATGAGTAGATATTAAACTTATTAAGCTAAAGTGAAGGCAGCAAAGGATTAGAAGATGTAGAAATATCTGGCAAGTATGACTCAATTGAAAGGCAATCTTGGGAAGATTTAAGTAGTTCAAAGTTGCTTAAGTTAGCTACAGATAGAGATCTTGAAGAGGATTTTAATTCATCTCAAGCTGAAATAATCTTCAATCCTAATGCAGAATTTAAGAGCTCTAAAAAGGGACCAGAAATGATGAAGTAAGTATTAGATCATTATGGACCAAGAAGACTAATAATCTTTTCGCTCATTTCAAGTATGATAAATGCATTTGCTTTTCCATTGAACGGATTAATTTTTGTTAAGAATCTATTTGTTCTGCTTAATCCTCATTCAAAAACGTTTTATGAGGATAGAAACTTTTGGTGTAGTGCTTATCTTGGATTAGCAGTTGGAATAGGTCTATTTGATTTCTTAAGCAAAGGAACTTAAAAGGCTCTAAGTGAGAACCTAACTTATGCTGTTAGAACCAAGCTCTATTCAGCCATTGTCAGAAAAGAATTAAGTTGGTTTGATAATAAGGAGAGAGCTCCTGGAATCTTAATAAACTATTTATCAGAAGAAGTGACTGCTCTTAATGGATTAACAACTGAAACATTTTCCAATATTCTGGAGGCTGTGTGTTGTCTTGTAATTGGATCTGCTATTGCTTTCTTTTATACTTGGAAGATAGCTTTAATCTCCCTAGCTACATCACCATTGGTAATGTTAGGCGGAGTTGCTTTATAATTATCCATCTGGGATAGAGCTAAGAATTCAAACAATCATAGCATGAAAGACGAAAAGGGAATGGATCCCTATGATAAGGCTAATGCCTTACTTTCTGAAGTTATCTTGAATTACAAAACAGTCATTAGTTTTGGACCAAAGAACATAACATATTTAATGTAGAAATATCACAAGTTACTTGAAGAGCCTATTATGATTAACAAAAAAGTAGCCCATTTCTCTGGTATTATGAGCGGATATTCATAATGTGTGAGATTTATGTTCTTAGCTTTAATGTTTTATGTTGGAAATTTCTTTATCTATGATCAAAATGATGATCCTGAAGGTACTTTTATTGGGATTTACACCTTACTTATGTCAGCCTTATCAGCTGGAGGTGCACTTTCACAAATACCTTCAATAAGCAAAGCTAAATCAGCTGCCACCAAGATATTTACAATCATTAATGAAGAGAAATCTTTGCCATCTTTGGACTTTGATAAGTAAACATAAATCACTCAAGGTTCCATTGAATTCAACAATGTAGAATTTAAATACCCCTCAAGAAATCAAAAGATTCTTAGAAGGATTAGTTTTAAGATACCTGCAGGGTAAAAAGTAGCTATTGTTGGACATTCAGGAAGTGGTAAAAGTACAATAACTAATTTGCTTTTAAGAATGTATGACTATTAGAATGGGCAAATATTGATTGATGGCGAAGATATTCGAACATTCAATCAGAAAGCACTAAGAAGATAGATTGGCTATGTTATGCAAGAACCTATGCTATTCAATATGAGTATTAAGGACAACATCATCTATGGGAATCAGTAGGCATCAGATGATAAGATTAGAGAAGTTGCTATTATGGCCAATGCCCTCTAATTCATTGAGGCTAACGATAACTAATCTGCGGTATCTATGCCTATTTAGACTTAGCTAACTAAAGAAGAATCGATAAGGTTCAATAAGACTTTTGTGAATCAATAATTCACGCAAAGGGATTTTTAACTGTAAAGAGTACTTGGAAGTATTGAATAAGCTAGTTTAGCTACTGATGAATCTACTCTTGCTAATTAAGTTCTTTCAAAAGCAGATGATTAATTATTAGACAAGATTAGCCAAGATACTGCTAAATTGATTGAATGTGTCAAGTTCTGCAATAATTGGCACGCCCATAATAGTTGGATTGATGTTATTAGAAAATTTGAATGGACTCTTGAATCTGAAAAGATTGTAAGCTACCTTAATGAAAAGGAAGATATTGGTTAAGCAGACAAAGATGAAGTGATCTTAGCCCTTGGATTAGAAAATCAAGCCAATAAATTCGATCTTTAAAAAGTTAAGGAATTTCTATAAAGAAGTGGAAGGAAAAATCAAACTTTCTTAGATTACTTAAAATGCAAAATTGAACCGAAATAATAAATGACAGAGACTATTGCCTGCTTAGCTCCTATTGATCTTGAAAGTTAGCCAAAGAATAAAATTCACCCTGAAATAAACTAAAGCACATATCTTCACCCTGGTTTTAATAAAATTTGTGGACTTAAGGGCTCAATGCTATCAGGAGGCTAAAAGTAGAGGATAGCTATTGCTCGAGCTTTGATTAAAGACCCTAAAGTACTTATACTTGATGAGGCAACTTCAGCACTAGATGAATAATCATAGGAATAAGTTTAAATAGCTCTTGATAAGGCCATGGAAGGAAGGACTAGTATTGTGATTGCTCATAGATTGAGTACAATAAGGAATTGCGATTGGATATTATTTTTAGACAAAGGGAGAGTTGTGGAATAAGGCACATACTTGCAATTATCTTAGAATAAAGATTCACACTTTCATAAGCTTAAATCTGGAATGCAAAACTGAAGATTATAGAAAAGTAGGATAAAACTTATTTAACTAATGAATTATTTGATTTTAAGTTAATTATTTATTTTTATGAGAAATTTGTTACAATGGGGTTTTGGGGTTTTGGGGTTTTGGGG